AAGGAAGGAAGGAAGGAAGGAAGGAAGGAAGGAAGGAAGGAAGGAAGGAAAGAAAAGAAAGAAATTTCCATTAATTGACAAAATTAAAAGTTCGTAAAACTCACATAAAAATTTGAAATTTCACTGGACTTGAACCATTGCTTAGCAGTTACACACTGTCAATTTCTAACTTCCATCTCTCTTCTTATTAATTTATACCCAGCTCATTGTAGTCAATGCAATTATGTTTCCGACTTCTCTGTCCATCTAACTTAATGAATTCTGATTTACACTAACTACTTTATTTTGTATTCAAGACATATGTGATTCGAAAGAGAGTATGCAATTGGTCCCTATCATGTAACAGGTATTTTCCAGGGAATAAAACAATAATAAAATGGGTCCTGCATGGCAATAAATAGAAAATAATTGAGATTTTGAAATCTAATGCTCATTATCATAGGGGTTCGTTTCATTCTAGCCAGGAGAAGGTTGCATTTTTATAGTATGTTTTAATTGTAGTGGAAACAAGGGTACCAAAACAAGACAACAGTTAATAAGGAGATATTTTGTTTAGATGGCAATCTGTTTTAAACACTGACTAGCAAATAGAACTGTAAATGCTTTTACTGATATGCATGTAATTTAAAATTCTTCTTAAATTATATCAGTTACTTTTTCCAGTATTAATTATTTCCATCTTGATTGTGCAATTGAGTTGGCAAAAATGCATACAAAATGTATTTTTAATATTTGAAATGAGACATAGAATTTTCCTAATGTTAAAGCTAAAGATGCATAAGTTGCAGACATCATATTTCTATACTTTAGAAGGATTAAGAAACTGATAAATTATGTAAAGTATAAAACTTAGCCTCCAACTTGTGCAGTAACAAGATAGACAAAGAAAAATTCAAGCAAGGTATACTTCCATAAACAGGGATTTTAGTTTAGAAAATGATCCATTGGGGACCAAAGGGAGGACCAAACTTTACCTGTATGATGTCTACTTGTATACCTAATCCTGAATTGTACCCCACATCTTTAAAATAAAACATAAATAAACAGGTAGCCAAAAAACCAGAAAATTATCCCAGATATGACTAACATGTTTTTTTATAACAAACTTAATAATAAGTAGTAAATAATTTAATGTCACAAATTAACAAACAATTCAGGTGATGTATATTAATTATTTGCCATGGCCTAGCAATATTACCACCAGTTTAATAAGTTAAAACAAAATATTATCATCTTGAAGTTTCTCTAGATCAGGAATCCAGGCATAGATTAGCTGTGTCTTCTGCTTCATGGTCTTGCATAAAGTTTTAATCAAGATGTTGACCAGGGCTAGATCTCACCTAAGGATCAGCTACAGAATGAGCCACTTCCAGGCTTATGTGGTTGTTGACAAGATTCAGTTCTGTTTGGGATGTTGGGCTGAGGGCATCAGTTTCTTGCTGGTCAGACATCACCTTCAGTTTCTTTCCATGAGGACTGTTCCATATGACAATTCACTTCATCAAATTCAGCATGGAATATAGTCGATAGAGTCTGCTAGCAAGAATGAAATGAAAAGTTATAGTCCTATACCAATTGGCCTTGCATGAGACATATATAGCACATGAATACTGTGAAAACTAAGTGCCCTCCATGCCCAGAGATGGGTAATGTGTCTATTCATATCCATAGAGATTGAGAAAACCCTATCCAAACCACTTATACTGACAATGAAAAAGGAATGACTATTCAAATATAATACTTACAAATTTTTTTGAAAAATATTTTTTTAAAAGTAAAAAAAACATGCAGGAGAGTAAAATGAATAGCTAAATTAATTACATATCTATACATTCCATTAAAAATAACATAGATTGGTTCGTATTCTTTAGAAAGAAATAGTTACTGAGCATGCAATGAATATATGGTCTACCATTAAGTGCTGAAGTATCTGTGAGAGAGATTGCTTTACATTCAGGTAACTTAAACAAGCATATGGACTATAGTGGCAAAGAACAAAGTAATTTGGACAAGATTTCTATAAAGACTTGTATGTAATTTAGTTTTCAGACTACATTTTCAGGATTGCTTATAAAAGCCTTCAATGAAAGCAAAATGTAATTTAGATTAGAAAAACTGAGTAGATAATGAGAAATAATATGAAAAGAATAACTATTGAATGAAAAAGACCATGTGAAAGAAATAACAATATAATGTCTTATCGACTTGAGAACAAAGACATTAATTTATGAAGATAAAGTTACGATAGGCTAGTTAAGTAAGGAGTATCATAAAAATGAAACTGAGATTGTGAAAAAAAAATAATATGTTGGTGAAAATATAATTTTTGAAATTGGGTAGATACCATAATATTAGGGGAATAACATGACTACAGTTAAGCAAAATACGTTAATTCAAAGTAAATGTGATTTCTCTGATGCCATTCATTCAAATACTTTTGGTACAGCTAGAACTTTGCAGTAAGTCAGGAAAAAGGAATAGAAAAGCCATGTGACACCATTTGCATAAATATGCTTAATCAACAGCACAAAAGCAGCATTTCACTTTTAAGTTGAGGTAGCAAATTGTTTCCATCTATTGATTTTTGGTTCAGAAGGTCCTTTGCAGTCAAGTGAAAAGCATTTTGCATGACATATAGCATGTAATAGAGTAGTATTATGTTTCACTTTAATTAAATATAATGTAGATGATAATACATTTACATATTGTTGAGCATAGTTTGATAGATCTGGAGCCTTAATGTGGTACTCCCTTGAAAACTTCCAATAATTATATTATTCAAATAAATATACAGACACAACATAATGCTATACACATTCTACTATCAAATTCAAAACTCTATAATTACAAAATATAATATAAAAACAAATAAATATCACTACAAATGCATTAGAATAGCCATAATCCAGAATACTGAAAACAGCAGATACTGGAGGGAATGTGAAACAACAAAAACTCTTGTTGATTACTGATGGTACAGTCCCTTTGGAAGACAGTTTGCAGTTTCTTACAAAACTTACTTTACAATCTAGCAATCATGCTCCTTGTTATTTACCCAAAGGTGTTGAAAACTTATGGTCACACCAAAACTTATACGTGGGTACTTATAACAGCTTCAGTCAAAATGACCAAGTATTGGAAGCAACCAAGATATCTGTATCTATGAAAATAAACTTGGGCACATCCACAAAATGAAATATTATGTAGTGCTAAAAATAAATGAGTTACCAAGCCAGGAAAAGACATGGAGGAATATTAAATGCATATTACTAAGTGAAAGAAAATAATCTGAAAGGGTTATATACCATATGGTTCCAACTACATGAAATTCTGGAAAAGGAAAAAGCATGGAGACGATAAAACCATTAGTGGTTGCCGGAGGTTGAATTGGTGGAACACATGAAGAGGTAGAGCAGAGAAAATTTTTAGAACAAGTGAGAATACTCGCTATGATACTATTAAAGATGGATACATGTCTGTATACATTTGTCCAAACCCATAGGATATATGACACCAAGTGTGTAGCATCATATAAACTATGGACTTTGGATGATGATATATCATTGTAGGTTTACTAGTTGTTCCAAATGTAGCACTCTGGTGAAGGATTTATTAATGGAGGAAGCTATGAATGTGTGGGAGCAGAGGACATATGGAAAATCTCTCATAATTCTCTCAATTTTTCTCTGAATCTAAAACTGCTTTTAAAAGATAGTCTTACAAATAAATAAATTATCTTTAAACCTGCAGACCTCCTCCAGTAAGTGAACTTGCCACCAGAGGGACAATGGTTGGTGTAATTTCTGCTGCGGCCATTAATCAGAGTATCGTGTACTCCATTGTTTCAGGAAATGAAGAGGGTGAGTATATTTTTAGTCTGTGTTTTTACCATAAATTAATAAACAGATTTGGACTAATTTTACGTTAAATTATTATTTATCCAATTTTTTGTTATAAAATTATGTCCATCTTTAAATGTAATTGGTAACTATATATGGTGAACCTGACAAAAGCATCCAGTTATGTTAGCTTTAGTGTTTTTATTTCCTTTAAGGAATAATAAATATCTAATTCTAAAAGTCTTCTACCTTCCCTCATTAAGAAATATTTTAGTGACATTTCTTTAAAAGCAGTGCATTATATTTTCAACTTTTGGTCATAATTATTGCCTACAAAAGTCTCTCCCCATTGTCTGTACAATTCATGACCCTTAGTCCATGTTAGTCATGCCTTAACTGTACCTGAAGAAATTTTGAGAACATAGATAAGTGTGAATGCCAAAAAATCACATCCATGCTAAAAGCCGTGCATTTTATATTATGGTTCCCTAAGCAGTCAAATTAGGCATATAATTAGCAATTGTAAATATACAAATAATTTGAGTTTTGTCTACCCATCAGTTTAAGAATCATAGTTGTTTGTTAGCCTCTGAGAATAAGTTCATAGTTCAGTCTCTGTCATTGACTCTTTTTTTTTCTTATTATCTACAGCTTAGTTGACGTCTGTTTCCCTTATTGATATGTTAGATAGCCTGGCAAATTGTAGGTCATCAAGAAATATTTAATATATGCTTAATACATTATTATTAAATATTAATAAATTGTAGCCTGTGTAGTAAAGTATTTATTAATCTCTATCCTCCACAGTGACTGTTTTACATTTAATTCATTTGTTTATTAATTCATTCAACAAATATTTACTGAGGATCTATTATGTACTAAATATTCTTTCAACCACTATGAATAGACAAATGAAAAAAATTGATCCCTGCCCTCATAGAATTTAACAGTCAAATAAGAAGAGATGGGTAATAACAATTATTAAACAAATAAATATATAGTGTTATGTGATGATCAATTCTATTGAAAAATTAAAGTGAGGAAAGAATATGAAGAGTGCAAGAGAGAGGATATTATAAAGTTATCAAAGTGCCCTGCTTTTCACTCAAATATATATGTGAAAAATAAACATAACAAGAAAATAGATGATGATACTTAGAATAATAAATTATTTTTATAAATAATCAATATATTAAATTATCAGTTTATTCTCTAAAGTGTTCCTGGCAGAATACTAAATCTATAGGATAATAAGATACATTAAATAATAGACAGTATAATAATCCAGTAAGTTGAGAGAATAATTAGTTAAACAAAATTAAGTGAGTTTTTCTAAAACAGAAATTCTGAAGTCTTTAGTGTGGCAGAAGACTGTATGACTCTTTGGTGAGAAATATATTATTCAGTATTTCCTAAATATAACTGATCATTGAAACACTGAGTTCCAGGGGAATCTCAAACCAAAGCAAAACAAAAACTCCAACATGTATAATTCTAAGCCAACATTTAGGAAGATTCTAATGGTGAGCATTTCAAGAACTGGAATATGTCTTCCCAAAGCCAGCATTTGTAGCTTTCATGTTTCATGCATTACTGTAGTTATAAATAAAATAAGTGTTTTCGTGTTTTTGAAATCATGGTGACTATTAAAGAGAATCTCATTCCTTATAGTGTGGACATAGTGACTAAGTAATTGTGTTTTGAATTCTAGGTACATTTGGGATTAATAACATCACAGGTGTTATTTACGTGAATGCCCCTCTGGACTATGAGACCAGGACAAGCTATGTACTTCGAGTCCAAGCCGACTCCCTGGAAGTGGTTCTTGCCAATCTCCGAGTTCCTTCAAAAAGTAAGTTACCACTTAAGGGTTTTACAAGAATTTTATGATGTTTCTGCTGATTTTCTAATGAAATACATATGTCTAAAATAATATTCTCTTTGGAGAACATAGAAAAACCATTAAAAATCAGGGAGTGAATTCATACTACTGAAATGTCAAAACTGAAACACACTTTTCATACTTAGTATAGAATATTGTTAAAATACCATTACTATCTGTGTATTTAAATAATAAACTTATTCCTAATCCCACTATGAGGCTCTGGATAAACTTCACAAATACATATCGTTAATGGATGACCATTACTAGACATTATCTGAGTTGGATGTCCTCTTGTGCTTAAGTATTTTTGCAGAACAAAGAAAAAATTATTGTAAAGTTAGCAGCTAATATTTATTATCATTTATATGTAGCATAATATTTAATCCATATATATTTCTGTGAGATGAGAATTGTTACCCCTTTTTATAAAGGCAAAATAAGAAAAAAGTTGGGTAGTTATTTTTAAATGAAAATCAGTAAACGTAAAGTCAGAGATTTAAGCCCACATTTTATAACTCCAAAATCTTTCTTCAACATTTAACTGTCATGTATTATAGTTTACCCACACAGAAAGTAAGTAAAATACAATTTGTGAAGGGGGAGACTGACAGAGATTCTAACAGATATTACCAATAATGCGATAAATGCTATTTTTTCCATCTATTGAGGTGATACTCTTTTGCAGTTAAGCAATCCATCCTTTTGCAATCACAGCAACCCTTTTAAAATCTAGAAGACTCAAGAAAACCAGATGTAATTTAGCTGTTAATAGAATAGAGACCCAGAGAGAGTATCAAATAAGAACCTGAAACATTCACCTTGGGACTATCCCTGGACACCATATCGCAGTGCTCTATCAGTCAAGTGTCTTTAGAAAGAGGAAGAGAAAAAAATAAAATAGAACAGTCAGAGCAAGAAAACCCAGGAAGTGTGAGAAAAAGGAGAGCAGGATGGGAGCAAAAGGCAGAAGATGCAGGATAGAATTTTCTGTATTCATTCATCAATTGATGTTCATAAAATAAAGCACTCTTGCATGTATAGTAAACCTCACTTCTTGATTTTGTGTAGAGGGCTGCACAGTTGCCTGTAAATGTATAACTAAATCATTTGGTAAATCGGATTATGCAGTGTGTCTTTGAAATTAAAGGAATTAAATTGTCCTCAATAATTATGCATCACTTGAATAATTAAATTGTTTAAAAATAGCAAACTAATTCTCTGAATGCTTAGAATCTTTAAACTGTAGGTAATTATCTTTTTAAAAATATAGAGAGAATGTTTTGAATTATACATTGAATTGGATAAATGAGGGTCAAAAGTTTAGAGTAGCTCTAAATTATATACTGCATTCTATCTTACTGCAAATGCAAATAAATGGGAAAGATTAATTGAATACTTTAGCTGTAGTCTTTCTTTGAAACAAATGCATAATTTATTTGAGAAAGAAAAGTGTGCTAAATATTAAATAGTAGAACCTGACATTTCTCAAGAAATACCTGTGATTTCTAGGAAATGAGATACAGTAAGTTCTTAGATGTTAATAAAATACTACTAGCTCCAATCACTACAGTTTAAATGTAAATCTAGGACCAATAAAATTTACCATATGCACACTTGCATGTGCTCCAATATGCATGTAGAGGTGAGACCAGTTAATGAATTCATAAATTATCCTCTCAGAAATGCATGAAATCTAAAAGTTAAAATGTTTGTTTAATGCCTGATGCTTTGAATATTGTTATTAACCTTTTATGACTGACCTTTGCCTTTTATGTTTGAAATACAAAGTCATGCATTTTAAACCCAGTTTGATTTATCAATAATTGCTCATAGTCTATAATCAATCCCCAACCTATTAGCTATGCAAATAAGACCGTTATGCAAATTGAGGTTAATTAATTGGTTATCTAAAGGTTCATCCCTTTCTCATAATTAGTTGTCCTATAGTCTTTAGCTCTACCATGCATCATTTTTATAAAGAGAAAATTAAGAAGTTCAATTCATTAAGAATTATGGTATTGTGAGTTCATTAACAAATTTTTGGTAATGAAACTATTTTCAAAGTAAATTTTACAACCATGATGTAACTGGATTTAATATTTATATGCAAATTAATAATTACAAAAGATATTGTAAATTCAACACTAGGAGAATTAAAACTCTTTTAGGCTTTTAGTATGGAACATTTCACACATAGAATTACAGAGAATATTACTGTGAACCTCCATGTATCAGCTACCCAATTCAGTATAATCATGTGCTGGAAAATAATTTTTCATCTAAGCCCTCAACTACTCCCCATTGCATTTTTCTAAAGCGGGACACAGTCAAAACATTCCATATGTAAATATTTTGATATGGAGTCTCACTCTGTCGCCCAGACTGGAGTGCAGTGGCCGCTCCCGGCCACCGCAGCCTCGACCGGCTGGGCTCCAGCGATTCTTCCGCCTCAGCCTTCCAAGTAGCCGGAATTACAGGCATGCGCTACCACGCCCGGCTGATTTTCTGATTTATTGTAGAGATGAGGTCTCGCTGCCCAGGCGGGTCTTGAACCCGCGGGCTCAGGCAATCCACTCACCTCAGCCTCCCAAAGGCGCGGGATTAGGAGGCTGAGCTACCGAGCCCAGCGATATGTATATTTTAAAGATAAAGACTCTTAAAACATAATTTCAGCCAGGCTCAGTGGCTTAGCCTGTAATCCCAGCACTTTGGGAGGTTGAGGTGAGTGGATTGCGTGAGGCTGAGGGTTTGAGACCAGTAGGGGCAAATTGGCGAGACCTCGTCTCCACAATTTATTAAAAAAAAAATTAGTCAGGCGTGGTAGTGTGCACCTGTGGTAACAGCTACTTGGACGGCTGAGTTGGAAGTATCGCGGGAGCTCAGCAGGTCCATGCTGGGCTAGCCGTGAGCATGTCACTGTACTCCAGCCTGGGCGATGGAGTGAGATTCTAACTCAAAAAAAACCCCCCAAAAAACAAAAAAACAAAACAAAACAAAAATATAATTTCAATAGCATTATTACTCCTGCCAAAATTAAAAAGAACTATTTAATAAGTCAGTGTTCGTATTCAACATTATATGTATATCAGATTTAATATAAGGTACACTGTAATTGCTTGACAGGGATTTTATGTCTTTTTTTTTTTTTTTTTTTTTTGAGTTGGAGTCTCATTCTGTTGCCCAGATTGGAGTGCAGTGGCCGCTCCCAGCCACCGCAGCCTCGACCTGCTGGGCTCCGGCGATCCTTCCGCCTCAACCTTCCGAGTAGCCAGAATTACAGGCATGTGCTACCATGCCCGGCTGATTTTTTGATTTATTGTAGAGATGAAGTCTCGCTGCCCAGGCGGGTCTCGAACCCGCGGGCTCAGGCAATCCACTCACCTCAGCCTCCCAAAGGCGCGGGATTACAGGCTGAGCCACCGAGCCCGGCTTTTATGTCTTTTTAAATCTTTAAATAGTCTTCACCACTGCTACCCTATTTTATTCACTTTGATGCTTATTGGTTCAGGAAACTAGATTTCTGAAGCCTGGATTGATGACTGCATCTATAAGGGGTCATTTTATATTTTTTTCTTCCTCCTTTATGTCCATTAAATAAATTATTTTATCTGTAGACTTGATCATAGCCCTGTTTTTGTTTTTATTTTTTCTTATTATTTTACTTTAAAGATATTGGGTACAATTCAGGATTAGCTACATAAGTGATCTACATACAGGTGAAGTTTGGGCCTCCCACTGGTCCTCACTTCCCCTGGTTTAGGATCAAGTACTCTTAGAGATGTCATGCACCTCTCCCTCTTCCTCGCCTTCCCCTGGCAGTGTCCCGCAATGACCAATCTCTTTCTTGTTGTATTTTGATAAATGTTCAGTTTCCACTTATGAGTGAAAAAATGCGATATTCAGTTACTTGGTTTTGTAATAGATCACTGTGTATGATAGACTCTAAATCAATCTAAGTTATTGCGAAGTTCATAATTTTGTCTTTTCTTATGGTTGCATAATATTCCATAATGTATAGATACCACCTTTTTAAAAAATCCAGTTCACTTTTGAAGGGCAGCACGGTTAGTTTCATACTTTTGTATTGTGAATAGTGCTGCAATAAACATGCATGAGCAGGTATGCTTTCTTTTTTTGATTAGAGTTCCTCCGGGTATATTCCCAGATGGGTCATATGGAAGTTCAACTTGTAGATCTTTTGACCATTTATGCATCTAACCCTAAGTTGTACCCACATCTTTAAAAGATAGGTAGATAGATAGATAGATAGATAGATAGATAGATAGATAGATAGATAGATAGATAGATGATAGATAGATAAGAAATCTCCACACTGTTTTCCACAGTGGTTGTATGAGTTTACACTCCCACCAGGAGTGTAGAAGTGTTCCTTTTATCTCCACATCCTCTCCAGCATCTGTTGTCTTTTGAGTTATTAGTGATGGCCATCCTGACTGGAGTTAGGTGTCATCTCAGTTGGATTAATGATTAGTGAAGCTAAGCATCTTTTCATGTATTTGTTGGCTGCTTGTATGTCTTCTTTTGAGAGGTGTATTCATGTCTTTTACCCACTTTTTAATAAGGCTGTTTGTTTTTCTTCCTTTTGGCACATTTGACTTCCTTGTAGATTCTGAATATGAAGCCTTTGTCAGATATTTACTTTGCACAAGCTTTTCAGTTTGATGAGCTCCCACTTGTCTATCTTACCTCTGATGACTTGGCCTTTTGATCAGGAACTGGTTGCCAATTCCTATTTCCATAAGGGTGTCTCCTGCATTTTCTAAGATTCTTAAAGTTTGAGGTTTTAGTTTAGGTCTTTGATGCAGTTAGAGTTGATTTTTGTGTATGGTGATAGGAAGGGGTCCTATTTTATTCTTCTACACGTGGTCAGCCAGTTTTCCCAGCACAATTTACTGAAAAAGTTCTCCTCTCCCCAGTGGCTGTTGTTGGAGGCTTTGTTGAAGAAG